TTGCTAAGCCAGATTTTTGGGCCCTGACCTCAGACTAATCCCTTTCCAAAGTATTTTCTGTTCTCTTGTTTTCCCACTGCCTTGAAGCGATGTAAAAATTAATAGACTGCATTTTTTAGAAGAGTTTAAGATTTACAGGAAAGTTAAAAAGATAGTAGAGTTCTAATAGGGTACCCACACTTACTCCTCCCTGCCCTGGTGGCGCAACACTTGCACGCTGAGCTGCGAGGTGGGGGTTGGTGGTCCAGCGGCTCGATGGGAGGAAGACCAGGGGATCTGTTCCCATAACCAGCTCTGCTCTGTCATGGGGGCTCGCTATGAGTTGGAATCAGCAGCACCCAACAGCAATATTCAAACATTATTATCAACCAACGTCCTGACTCTATTCGGATTTTCTTAGTTCCTACCTGAGGTCCTTTTTTGGCCCCAGCATCCCATCCTACAAACCCCATTGCCTTCATTCCCATCCCCTTGGGCTCTACTTAGCTATATCATCCCAGATTTCCTTGTGTGGTGACCTGGGCAGTTCTGAGGAGGTCTGCTCAGGCATTTGGTAGAACGCCCCCTGTTGGAATTGGTAGACCTAGGCCAGGGGTTTGGGAAGGAATCGTGATCATACAACATGGTTGGTCAGTGCTGATGTTGAGTCTGGCTGCGGTGAAGTGACTGTTCCCTCTCACACTGTGTTCTCTGGAAGAGGGTCAGCAGGCGATGGCCCACCCCCTTGAGGGCAGAGCACAATGTGCAGCTTTGGGAATTCTGCAGATGGTTTCACCTAGTTGTGGTGTTGTTGTTGTTGTTAAGTGCCCTCTAGTCACTTCTGACTCACAGTGACCCTAGTGGTGTTGTTGTGGTTGTTAACTGCCCTCTAGTCACTTCTGACTCACAGTGACCCTAGTGGTGTTGTTGTTGTTAAGTGCCTTCTAGTCACTTCTGACTCACAGTGACCCTAGTGGTGTTGTTGTTGTTAAGTGCCCTCTAGTCACTTCTGACTCACAGTGACCCTAGTGGTGGTGTTGTGGTTGTTAAGTGCCCTCTAGTCACTTCTGACTCACAGT